GGCTTGGGGGCCATGAGCCCGGGATCCCAGTTGGGGGGAGGGTGGGCTGGGGCTGGGGCTGGAAGGCAACACCAAACTCTTCCTGACGGGGGGGCTGGGCCACACTGCACTTTGGCTAGGCAGCAGCAGTAGTGGCACTGGGAGGGTTGGGGGTGCTACAGTGAATTTTTGGAAGCCTGCAGCCCCCCTCCCCTATAGTCCCATCCCAGCACCATGGCCCGGCTTAGCCCCCAACTGGGAAAAGTCCAGCACAGCCCTGGGCCCATCCTGCAGTGGCAGGCAGCCTGGCCAGTATGCAGGTCCAGGGGGGCACATGCCCCCCATGCCCTCCCAGGGAGGCACTCATTGCTCCATTCTGAGCCCTGGCTATGCAAGGTCTGCCCCTGTTCCAGCCCCGTTCCCTCCCTCACAGCTGCTGCAACCGCTCACACTGTCCTGCGTTTGGGGAGGAAAATGCGCCCCCCCCCCAGTCTGTGCATAGCAGAGGTGGCTGCTGTTGCAGGCTGGGCTTTGTGCCCCAAGCACCGCTGCTGCTGGCCTGGGAGTGGCTCGATGCCACATGTGTCCAGCCGCTAGGCTGAGCCTCGTCCCTTGCCCGCCTGGTGACTGGATGCATATGGCATCAGGCCACTCCCAAGCCAGCTGCAGCAGGGCTTGGGGTGCAAAGTCCATTCTGCAATGGCAGCTGCCTCCACTGCACACAATGGGAGGGCATGTGCCCCCTGGGGCCTCCATCAGAGTGTGCACAGTCGTGGAAGCCCCTCACCCTCTGCGCCCCTTGACGAGCTGCGTAGGCTCAATCCTCTCAACACCTGCCTGGCTCCGAGCCCCACTCACCTTACACCTGCTCCTGTCTCTGCTGCACTCTGTCCCTCACTGCAGGGGCCTCGATCTGGGCCCCACCCCTTCCCTCCCTCAAGGACTGACCTGCTGGGCTGGGGGGGGAGGGGGTGACGCATGCATGCATGCATGCGCATGCTCACCTCCCAGCCTCAGATCAACTCAAAGAGACTCCGTGATTGACTGGTTGGTGACCACTGCTTTAGAGAGTAACCTCATTCACATTTACTTGAAAATGATCTTGTAAGCACATTCCTCTTTTAGATGTCAGTCTACTCTCCCTGTTACTATTGAAACCAACTGATCTGCCTGTTGCCATAGGAGGGGTAACATCTTTTAGGCAGGGTGTAAATGTTGACCTCCTATAGCGACCCTTGTAATTTAACCCTGGTTGATATCTGCCTTTTGTATATGTGGTTCAAGAAGTTTTAACTAGTATAAATAACAGAATTTGGCTGTCAGATTTAAAGGGAAACAATGACACACAATTCCTCATATCCATCTGTTGGATCTAATGAAGAGAAAAAGAAGCTGGTAGTGGTAAAAACATGTTAAACATGAATGCGTAGTCATAGGCTACATCTTGACCTGTTGAACATGTGTTAATGGACACACTAAAATGTCAAGTCTCCAAAGTCACAGTCCCAATCTATCCTTTAAAGCTCATCTATCCTTTAAAGCTCATCCTTTAAAGTTCATCAAAAGGTAATGGATCTTACAGTATGGGTGCCTCTTATAGATCCTGACCTGATGATAATCATATATCTAAGGCATAAAAAAGCAAATATGTTAGGTTGGCATTTTTTGCAGTGCTGAAGTTAAGGTTGTTTTTGTTTTTATACTGACATATGCATGCATACATATTCATATATTAGGGTGAAATTACATATTGCACTTAGACCATACTAAATGTGCAAAATGTTAAGTAGTGTTACAATTAAAATATGCTATGAGCAGCTGCACAATAAGGGTTAATACCATTTCTGCCTGCAGCCTCTAGCTCTGCTAGAGGGCTAGTGAGAAGAAGCATGATCTCTATCCCTGCTCTGGGTGAAGAGGTAAGCGGGGTGCATCATGGGTTGCTGGAGGACTGCAAACTGCTCATTTTATCACTGTGGAGCAGACCAAAGTTACTCGAACGCAGGCTTGTCCAACATATGGCCCGTGGGCCACCATGCGGCCCGCCAAGCCATTTTCTATGGCCCGCGGTGCTGCGACAGGAAATGAAAGTAAACGCTGTTTACTTTTGTTCCCACCCCTTGTCCCTCCGCCAGCCCCTCAGCAGCTTCCTGATGGCTGCTGAAGGGCTAGGGAAGGGACAAGGTTCCCACATGCACCATGTCAGCTTGATGTTGCTGACACGGTGTGGCTCCTCCCCTCCCCCCTCATTTCACGGTGTCCCTTCCTCACCCCACCCCTCCCTTCCTCATTTGCATGCCAGCCCCACCCTGCACCGGTCCCTGCCGGCTGCGTGGACTGGAGCACGCAGTGCGGCGGGCGGGGGGGTTCAGGGGGCGTGGACGCCGGCTCGAGGGGATGCTGCGGCCAGGCCTGCGGGAGATGCTGCTGCTGCTGCTGTGGCTGTCGGGGCAGGAAGCTGGCGCCACTCTTGCATCCCCCCACGCCCGCAGACATCATGCTGGGGGTGTTGAGTCGCGCACCCCGGGGAGGGAGGGACCCTTGCTGCTTGGGCTGCCCCAGGGAGAGAGGGAGCAGGGGGGTGTCCCTGCACATCCTGCATCCCCCTGTAGAGTCCCCACATGTCCCCCTGGCTGTTGAGCCCAGGTGTGCAGGTGCAGAAGCATCCTTGAGGCTGCCCAGGTGGCAGGGAGGACATGGCGGGGTCAGCCTTCCCCTTTGCCTGCCCCCCCAGGCTGCGGCTGGACTGGACAGGCTGCGCGAGCGCCCGCTCCTGCCGGCCCACTGGGTGATAAAAAGTTCATGATCCGGCCCCACGTTCAAAAAGGTTGGACACCCCTGCTCTAACGTGAGCTAGGTAGCATGACCCAGAATTTGATTTCTGTATTGTATGCTTATATGGTTATTTATTTTCCATAGTTTTTATTGTTGCTTTCTTTCAAATAATGTATGCAGTTAATGGCATTAGAAACAGTGTTTTAATGTCAAGTGTTCGCCAGCAACGTTTTTTTTCTTAGAACTGAATCAAGATGCTGCAGTGTAAACAAGGAAGTGAACAAACCCATCTTTGTGCATTGCCATTCCATTAATACAAAAAGTTTACTAAGCATGAAAACTAAATCAGTAGAAGGAAGAACTTTTTCGTCTCAAAGCTCTAAGTACGGGCTCAAAACAATGGAGCCAACATGAATGGAAACTACCGGTATTTAAAAAACATTGTGGGTGTCCCTTTAAATCTTGCAAGATTATGCTGTGACTTTTGGTGACTCTTTTTGTCTAGATATAAATCTTTCATTTCTTTTCTGGGCTAAAAAACTCACTTCAGAACTTGGATTTTCCAAAATGCAGTGCTTTTCCTAGAACAGCTAAAAAGCAACTGCTTCCAGCTGTACTTCCATGAGTCTGTCTGTTGTCAGAAGCTGAACAGAATCGGGCTACTTAAGTACGTGGATGGGAGACAGCCAAATAACGGCCTTGCTACAAAAATGGTGGGAGTAACAAACAGCAGGATTTTCCCTGTGCCATTACTACAGTGTTTTTACACAGTGTCAGAGGCCCTTACCTGTAGCAGGTGTGGTATTTTAGATAAAATGTAAATCCTGTAATTATTTGTGGTAATTAAAGATGACATGTCCATGAGGTGCTTGCAAAGTAAATCGCTGCTCAATGTAATAATTAATATCAGCATCTTACCCTAATTTATGAACAATATTCTCTCAATAGTTATTTCTTACTTTCTTTGTTTAACTATTGTGCCCTGTTGCTGATTAACCACTGCTGATTCCCCTGAGGAAGCTGAATTTTATTGATGAGTGAAAGGATCCTTAAATTACCAGTAACAATGCCAAGATGAGTGGCAACTGCAGCTGCTACTCACTTAACATCATAGTTATGTCCTTGAAAAATGTGACTTTAAGTGAAACCATGTCATGTGAATCCAGTTATGTCACAATAGTTACCTACTAGCAGGTAGCGGACAAACAAGGTTATAACTGAACACTGTGCAACTTTGAAGATGGTCTCTAATAGATGAGCAATGTAATAACAAAACAAGGTTAACGGGGATGATGTTAAGTGAGGCGAACCTGTACGTAAAGTTATTCATTGGAGTTGGCCAAAAGTTATCTGCCAGTGTAGCAAACGGTTAATTGTTGAAATATTCCCAAAGAAACAGAACTGTTTCAATTAAGAAATTACAATAGTGAAAAAAAATTGACAAACACTTTGATCACCCTGGAATAGAATGTCTTCAAACAACTTCCGTTTTGAAATGTATTTGTACAGTATGAATTTACAATAAATCCAAAACAACACGGGCTAATATGTTGATTATTTTGATCAAAACAAAACAACTTGGTTGGACCAGTTTTCTTCTGGAAATTGTTTGGAAGGGAGACTTCACAATTCCTTATACCCTCCCAATTTAGAAACAAAATAAACTTTGAAATCCCAAACTATCCTGCAAAACGAACATTTGTTTCCCTCACCTCTGCTTTTAATGCTGTCACAAGGCAGGCCAGGGATTTAGACAGTCTTTCCAGTAGATGGCACTGGTATATCCAGTTTAATATTTATTGTGTAAGCACGTGAATCAGATTTGCTCTGTCATTCATTTGCTTCCTCAGTGTATTCAGTGAGTACAGGATGTAGAAGTACAATGTCTGTCTTTACATTTTTATATTGAAGACGTTTCTCATCTTTGTATCATGTAGACATTCTATTTCAGTTGCACCCGCTTTTTGCTTTGGTATACTCACTCACTCCAGTAGTTTTCAGGGATGGGGCTAACTTCTCTTCCTGCCTCCCCCCCCCCCCCCCCCCCCGAAAAA